TACTACATCTACAGGAACCCTTACAACCATACACAGGATGTACATACCCCATCTACAGGAACCCTTACAACGATACACGAGATGTACATACACCATCTACAGGAATCCTTACAACAATACACGTGATGTACATACCTGAACTACAGGAACCCTTACAACGATTCACGTGATGTACATACTCCATCTACAGGAACCCTTACAACGACACATGGGATGTACATACTCTATCTACAGGAATCCCTTACAACGATACACGGGATGTACATAATCCATCTACAGGAACCCTTAAAACGATACAGGAGATGTACATACTCCATCTACAGGATCCCTTTACAACTGTACAGGAGATGTACATACTCTATCTACAGGAACCCTTACAACGATACACAAGATGTACATATTCCATATACAGGATCCCCCTTACAAAGATACACGCGATGTAGATACCCCAAATCTACAGGAACCCTTACAACGACACATGGGATGTACATACTCTATCTACAGGATCCCTTACAACGATACACGGGATGTAACATGCCCCCATCTACAGGATACCTTTACAACGATACACGTGATGTACATACCTCATCTACAGGATCCCTTACAACGATACACGGGATGTACATACTCCATATACAAGAACCCTTACAACGATACACGAGATGTACATACCTATCTACAGGAACCCTTACATCGATACACGGGATGTACATACTCCCATCTACAGGAACCCTTACAACGATACAGTAGATGTACATACTCCATATACAGGAATACCTTACAACGAAACATACACGGATGTACATAATCCATCTACAGGATCCCTTATAAACGATACAGGAGATGTACATACTCCATCTACAGGAACCATACAACGGTACACACAGATGTACATACTCTATCTACAGGAACCCTTACAACGATACACGAGATGTACATATTCCATATACAGGACCTTTACAAAGATACACGCGATGTAGATACATCAATCTACAGGAACCCTTACAACGATACACGGATGTACATACCTCATCTATAGGAAGCCTTACAAGGACACACATGATGTACATACTCCCAAATACAGGAACCCTTACAACGATACACGAGATGTACATACACCATCTACAGGAACCCTACAACGACACACACAGGATGTACATACTCCTATCTACAGGTTCCCTTACAACCACACACGGGATGTACATACTCTATCTACAGGATCCCTTTACAACAGAATACACGGGATGTTCATACTCTACTACAGGAACCCTTACAAGTACACACATGATGTACATATACTCTAAATACAGGAGCCCTTACATGAATACACGAGATGTACATACTCTATCTACAGGAACCCTTACAACCATACACAGGATATACATATATCTACAGGAACCCTTTACAACGACACACAGGATGTACATACACCATATGCAGGAACCCTTACAACGATACACGAGATGTACATACTCCATCTACAGGAACCCTTACAACCACATTCAGGATGTACATACTCTATCTACATGAACCCTTACAACTATACACGAGATGTACATACTCTATCTACAGGAATCCTTACAGCGATATAGGGGATGTACATGCTCCATCTACAGGAACCCTTACAACGATACACGGGATGTACATACTCCATCTACAGGAACCCTTACAACCACATTCAGGATGTACATACTCTATCTACAGGAACCCTTACAACTATACACGAGATGTACATACTCTATCTACAGGAATCCTTACAGCGATACATGGGATGTACATGCTCCATGTACAGTAATCCTTACGATACATGGGATGTACATACTACATCTACAGGAACCCTTACAACCATATTCAGGATGTACATACTCCATCTACAGGAACCCTTACAACGATACACGAGATGTACATACACCATCTACAGGAATCCTTACAACAATACACGTGATGTACATACCTGAACTACAGGAACCCTTACAACGATTCACGTGATGTACATACTCCATCTACAGGAACCCTTACAACGACACATGGGAAGTACATACTCTATCTACAGGAATCCTTACAACGAAACACGAGATGTACATAATCCATCTACAGGATCCCTTAAAACGATACAGGAGATGTACATACTCCATCTACAACCACACACAGGACACACATACTCTATCTACAGGAACCTTTACAACGACACACGGTATGTATATATTCCATATTCCGGACCTTTACAAAGATACACGCGATGTAGATACTCAATCTACAGGAACCCTTACAACGACACATGGGAAGTACATACTCTATCTACAGGATCCTTTACAACGATACACGGGATGCACATGCTCTATCTACAGGATACCTTACAACGATACACGTGATGTACATACTCTATCTACAGGATCCCTTACAACGACACACGGGATGTACATACTCTATATAGAAGAACCCTTACAACGATACACGAGATGTACATACTCTATCTACAGGAACCCTTACATCGACACACGGGATGTACATACTCTATCTACAGGAACCCTTACAACGATACAGTAGATGTACATACTCCATCTACAGGAATCCTTACAACG